TGCCACGTAAACAAGGTTAACGGCTCAAATTAACAGAAGGACTAACGGAGTGCATTTCGTATAGTTGAGGGATCAAAAAAGTGCAAAAAATTGTTAAGGGACCAAAAATGTGCAAACCACTATAGTTGAGGGACCAAATTAAGCAGTTAACCTTTCAACCTCAAGCATGGTAGTGTAATTACTGTTCACGTTGATTTTAATGTTAATTAAGATGATGTCTTTAATTCTGCAACATTTTAATTTTCAGATTTGCCAATACATAACATTTTAATTTAAAAATAAACATATTTAGTTTAATTTGGGTACAACTTTTTTTTCGCAATTTTACTTTAAATTGCAGGTTATTTAGTTCAATTAGGATTTGTTAATCTTAAGTCACGGTAGTGTTTAAGTCCTTAGAGAGGTGGCAAAATTACTTTCCATATCAGAATTACTTAATTTGGATACAGCTTTTTCTCGCAAATTTACTTTAAATTGCAAATTATTTAGTTCAATTAGGATTTGTTAATTTTACCCGCCGGCTCCTCTTGCCTCAATTTACCCACAACCAAAAGAACATCCTCTCCCTTTTTCGCTAAAACCTGATTGGAGTAAATGGATTGGACCTTTCGGAACTTGGCCAGCTTGGAGGAAATCAGAATGGGTTGACTGCATAAATTGCCTTGAACTTGCTTTTGGCTAGATTTGGAAAGATATGGGTTTGTTTGAATTCATACAATTATCCAAATGCAAATTCGCCATAGACAAGCCGATCTTTAGTTCGGCTTTGTTGTTTTCGTCTGGCTTTTTTAATTGCTTTCATTTCCCTTGTGGAGCCATGTTTGTGAGCTCTTTGATATTAGTTTATTAACTGGATTGCCTTGCATAGGAGAAGAGATTTCAGCATTATTAACTTTGCCACTAGGTGTTGAATACAACGCAGATTTGAAGCCCTCTTATCTAGCTTTTGTGAGATCTGCCTATGACAAAAGTAAGCCTTTCAATGCTCAAGAGCACATTTCATTTCTGCTTACTTTAATTTGCAAATATATGGTTTGTTCAGCTAGTAAAGGCCCTACTAAAGAATTTGTCCCATTAGCTGTTGCTTTAGCACATGGTAGACGATTAGCTCTGGGTCCTTTTCTGCTTGCTTATTTATATAGGAGTTGCCAAGATGTCATAGCTCATCCCTTAGGCATTAGTGGTGGGCCACTTTGAATTCTGCAGTTGTGGCTTTACTCTTATTTTCCAGCACTTGCTCCTATTTCATCTACTGTACCAGCTCAAAATCTACTCACTTACAGCTTTATGTTCAAAAATGCCGCGAAGAACAAGAGAAGTTTTGAGGAGTGCTTCAGATTTTTTGCTTCTCTTTCTGTTGACAGATCTGATGCAGATTTCACTATGTTTCTAAGCAGATCTCATGGGCCTTCATGGCTTCAAGGTTAGAAATTTCTTCTTTAAGCTCTTGGAGATGTTTAACTTGTGTGACATGAGCAACCTTCATTGCCAAGAATTCTTCCTTCTTCTTAAAAACAGCGGCAGTGCTATCCGTTATAGATTTTCTCACAGATTTTGCAGCC